ACACACACACACACACACACACACACACACACACACACACACACACAACCGGCCTAACCTGACATTTCAGCTGCTGGGGGAGAAAAACAGACACATATAGATTGAAATGCTTCTCTCTCTCTCTCTGGGTGTCTCCTTCGTCTCATGCAGACAGAGAGATATATATTGGCCCGGTGGACCCTTGGCTCATGGCCAGGATGAAATTAAATAATCCCCTCTACTCGCAGGGTAATGCTCAGTCAATGCAAACACTCCTGCTAGAACAAATGCAATGTGTATGCTCGCAGCAAACTGCTGGCATTTTCACGGGTGGCTGTGACGAGTATGTGCAGCAGCAGCAGCGTGTTCTGCTGTGAACCCCAAACACCCACACAAACTGGCATTAGATATTCTATTTGTGTCAGCATTCAAGCTTCTATACTTTCCCTGACAGGGGGAGGAATGTTCAATGTCGTGTCCTAAACTTGCAGGGAGAAAAAACAGCTTTGCTTTTAAGGGATACTTCAGAGAGGGCTGTGTAGTGTGTGTGTTGTTGTTGTTGTGAGGGATTACAGTGGGAAAGTTAAGTGTGTGACTGCAGCCAGGTTCAGTCAGGCGGGCCGTTTTGATTGGACGCCAAGACGCACGCGTGCTTTATCACCAAGTGAATTAAATCTAGCCAACAGCTGACTCAAGGGGTGCTGCCTCTGCCGAGAGTGTCGTTCATTCATCTCCGCTGTAATAGACAAAGCAGAGCGCTACAAACACTGCACCGGTCACTGCAGTGCATTACGAGACCTTCCTACCATGAACAGATTCCACAGCCTGAGAAGATCACATAGCGCATTAACTGTTGGATATGTTTTTAGAGTTAATGGGAACGGTATTATTTATTCAGCACCAATGTGATGAAGGGTCCTGTCCGACCACAGCTGCAGAGAAACTATGTGTAATACCGGACATTAAGTTAAAGTAGTTTTCTGGGAATTCATAAGCCTAATTTGTCCCCTACCAATAAACTTTCAGGCTCTGCAGGCGGTTTCATTAGCGTGGGTTTAACTGGAGCATTTTAGAGTCATATAATGTTTATATGCTGTTTCAGAGGCTGCAGGGTATAAAAAGATGCTAAACATTGCCACAAAATAATGGCAATCAGTGATTTTGGTTTAAACATGTCTGCCAGCACACGCTTTGAAATCCCACATTGATTTTTACTTTACTACTGACCAGTCTGCCGCTGCAGAAATGCTAAATCTATTATTTAAAAAAAAAAAAACAGCCAGTAACACTAGACTTCCATAATTGAAATGCCATGAATGGACAACCTCTTTGCCAGGGAGGGAATGCCATCACACTGTCCATTACTTCACCTAATGACATTTCCCCGGCTGCTTCACAGGAGACAAAAACAGACACAGTGGGAGTTTGTGTGCGCGCACGCACACACACACACACACACACACACACACACACACACACACAGGAATACACCTTACCTTTGTGCAGTAGAGCATCCAGACCTCGTACAGTCTCTCTTTGGATGCCATGGTGCCAGTGATCGGCACCCTCAGGCTGTAGAGTCCACCGAGGTCACTTCCCTGGCTGCTTCATGGTTTTCAGTCACGAGCTGAACCTCTGCTGCTGGCCTTCAGCGCTCAGCATCATGGCTGCTGTCCAACGCTGGACAAGGTGTAAACACTCCTTCAGATGTGATCAAAACGGATGGTAGGCGTGTTGTGGCAGAAAACTGTCCCAAGACTTATTCCATGGCGGAGGAGAGCTGTGTAGTCCCGGGCCTGTACTTCCACTTCTTCGGCTCTTCCTCGGAGAACCAGAGGGTATTCCCAGCAGCGTTTGCGCTATCAACGATAACAACACAGACAATTAACTATCACAGAGGCGGATGTTTTGTCACGGGCAGACGCCTGGCAGTGGTATTCGCCGCTAGCAGCAACACTTCCAGTAACGCTGGTCCCGGTGCACTTTGAGCTGCCCCGCTGTCTCTGAAAGAAGACGGACTGAGTGGTTTAACCACACGACAAAAACACACACCGTTAATAATGTCTGTTTCTGTAGCGTGCTGTTAGCTAGAAGCAGAGTTGCTCGTTCCTGTGACAGCTGCACAACGCCCCCGGTTATCCTCGGCAAACTGACTGTTTCAGTCGACCTTACCTGACCAAGCTAACGTTAGCTCAAAGCTAGCTGTCAAAAAAAGCCTATTTCTATTTTTTTTCTTCGCCTCTCTTTCTCCTCCTCCTCCTCCTGTGACATAAACGCCTCGTCCTCCCGAGCCCGCTCGGCTACAAACGTTTCATTCAAAATATAATATGAAAATACCTGATAACGTCTATTGAAACCGAAGACCTCTCACCTGTGTAACGAGAAGACCAACTGTCACTGATGTTGTAAATGTGTCAAGTAGCCGACACAGACACCGCGCATTCAACCGACAACAACTTCCGGTCAAAGTACGTTTTGATTTATTTCAATATAAGAGGACAAGAATGAAACCAAATTTTTTTTTTTTTTTCAGATGTCTTATCCAAAAATGATGCGTTATTCCAAAGCACTGAAGTGCTTGAAAACATTTTTGAATAGTTTAATGTTTGGTTTCTTACTTTCAAATTGAGTCAGAGTCAAGTAAATTCTTCAATACTGTATATTCAATGGTGTATTGTATCGTTAGTCACACAGGAGTGTGGTACAATTAACCTGGCTTTCACAGAAAATGAATATACCACTAGCCAACTCTAGTGGTATTGGTTTAATAAAATGGGAAGATGCCCTGGCCTTATGGTTGCTGATGGTATATAAAATCGTAGGCAAAGACTGCACCAAGATTTATTTTTGTAGAGTTGAAAATGGTGTGGATATTCATACTTTAAACAGCAATAAAAAAAATTGTACTTTTAATTTGGTAGGGGAACCGGATACACAACACACTGCAGCAACTGGCACAGAAATACTACCAAGCAAGTCAACATATTCAGGACTAAACTGTTTCAATATAGAATACGTGTTTCTCTTTTTTTGGCGTATTCGGCTTGTTCTGATAAAAAATAAAGAAACACGAAATACGTGGCTTGCAATATTTATCATAACACTCGGCGTGTTTGCGACGTTTTATCCACTTTACGTTGTCGATGTGGAGCTACGTGGTTGCTAAGCGCAGGGCTCAGGTTTGTTTTGATGTCGTGTTGCCATCTAGTGGAGAAGTGGAGAACTGCTATGTATTACCAGCCTTACGTAGATGTATTTCTGTGATTAAATGTAACGGGGATGTATTTTTATTACATTTAAATTACTGTATAATAATATAAGCAAACTGGCAAAAGTAGCACTGCCTTTTAAATATTTTTTTTTAGATTAGGAATGCCTTTATTGGTCAATAACAAAAAAACAAGTGGATATAGCACAGAGAGGAACTAGCAAACGAGAAAATTACAAAACAAAACGTTGAATGCTTTTCCCCTTTTTTTTTTTAGAGAAGTAAATAGACTCCGGATGGGAAATACTACTTGATGGCCATTTCTCTCCAAAACTCTCCCCCGTGTTTTTATTTTTTTTTGCAACGTAGCAGTGCACAGAACACACCGAGCCCCTAACATCACCTGAAAGAACCAGTGTGAGTCGACAGTCACACACTCACCTGTATCGATGACGCCATCGCCACCTGCTGGTTCGGTTTGGAAGTCTCCTCACGTGCCCAGAAGAAGCCGGCATCATCTGCTGCACAAATCAAAACAGCCGCTGACAGTTCGGCTTTATGAGATTATAGGAACAAATATTTGGGTTATTCACAGTCATAAATTATAATGTATAATACTTTTGCCTACAATTGATTCACTTTGTAAAGCAAAGAAAAAGGTCCTTTTATGAAGGATTGTCAAAAACATACATACTGTATACACTTTTCTACTAACAAAACGATATAAAAAAATCATTCAAGGCTTAACAAGAAGGTTGGAAATAAAGTTTAGTATATTTAGTGTGTGTGTGTATGCATGTATATATATATAGCTCATACAGCTACCATGTTTGATATGTACATTAGATCACAGTTCTCGTACACAGTACACTTAATCACAGTTACAGATGGATCATATTCAGAACGCAGGTTTCATGAAAACATAAAGGCATTGTTGGAGAGGCGGTCACAGTAGAAATATTCTTTTGGGACGACTCACTAGCGATAATTCACCTACTGATTGTTTCTAACGCTACATGGGACACTAGCTTTATTCTAGAGACAAGTTTATCTTATTATTCCTATGTTTTCCAATGCATATGGTGAAACACTGTGTGCATATATGTTCAAACATACAGCAGAAAGACATTTACATTTTTGATTGTGGCAAGTTTTCTAAACATTTTGGACATCTAGTGTAATTTCAGATGCAGTCTCAAACTGGCCTTTCGAGTAATATGTTGCCAACTTGATCCTTGTTTTTTTCGCAAATTGGCAGTATTAAAAGTATGCCGAATCAGCTATTAGCACTTCCTGTTTGCAATGTACCCATGGGTGTGGGGGCGACCATCATTAGACTACTTTGATGCTGAAGAGAACTTAAAAGCGTCTTTTTATTCATCGACTGAGACGGACATCCGAGATAACGATATCCTCCAAAATCTAAAATGCGTGTGTCGGGTCTTTGTGGTCAGATGTGTTTTGGGTTATGACTCCCAGAAGGAGTGCGAATTTTGAAGCAAATTGTCTCTTCAACTCTTCGGATATAGATGAATATATATGCCCGTGTGCTGTAAATATCTCCTGGTGTACCTCAGTATTAACTATTCACAGTCTGAACACATAAAAACACCGGAAAGGAAAAAACCCACCCTCGCATCATCACTTGTGCTTCAGGGTTTTTTTTCGTCCGTACCTGTAAGGATTTACCTTTCTGATGTATTCACTTACATATTTCAGATTTAGTGAACAAGGTCCTCCATTTTTCAGAATACTTTGAGGAGAGCAGGTACAACAGCCACCTAAAAAATGTCCGTCATCGATGGAAATATGAAGAGCACACTGTAAAAACAACAGATGTTGCTCACAAATTGCTGTTATTAACAAAGTACTTCAGGGTGAACTTTTCCTTTGACTCGTAGTTGCATTTATCTCAGAAGGAAGTGTGATTATAAGTCAACTGATTGTTCTTTTGTGCTGTGACTTGTTGACAGTCCATGTTATCATCGTCATCACCATGGATCGTTAATGTGTAATCCAGAGCAGCATCTTTGATCCAGCACTTTCACAGTCTCGTCACCGTCCCACGACGCACACTCTGTATATATGCATCAGACAAACATATAAAAAAAACTTACGAAACTACTTTAGAAAAAGGCTCAGAGAGTCGGGTTACTGATATGAAATAAAAGCACAGTAGAATTTGGCCTCATTGCTTCGATTGTCTTTGTGTTTGGCTTGCTAGTCAGGATTTGGAGATTTTCGGGGGCGGACATTGTGGGGTTAGGAGAAGTCCCACGCTGCCTCGGCGGAGGTCAACACCGGAGCGTGGCAGGACGGGGCGGGAGGCCAGGATACCGGAGGGTCCTCGGGGCTGGTGAGGGGCACTGCTGGGTACATGAGGCTGAGGAAGGTGTCTCTGGTGTGCCTCTTCACCTGTCGCCGAACGACACAACTTTGATTAAACACGGTTGAAGTAGTGGGGAAGTGGAATCCCGTAACCAAAAAACATTTTGAAAACTCAGCTTCAAGCTTTGGCTTAAGAACATTTATCATACTGATTATATTAATTATCTCCCACCAATGTTTTATGTGTAGACCGAGCTGAGGACTAAGAGGCTGAATGAACCCACCTGCTTGAAGAAGGCGTGGGTCAACAGTGTAGATGCTGACGGTCTATGGAAGACAAATAAAAGGATGCATGCATTAAAGTATGTGTGCTGTGATGTCGTATTTGTCATTAAAGTCGACCGGCCCTTTAACGCACTGACCTGCGCTCAGGCTGCTGCTGCAGACACAGCTGGACCAGGTTGTGCAGGGTGACCGAGTGGTTTTTGGGCGCGGGGCTCTGGGGTCGGTCGGCGGGAGGGGCGGTGGCGCTGTGCGTCATGCTTCCGGTGGCCACGCTCTCGCCGATGCCGGAATCCACCCCGGACCGCGACACCTTCAGCCCCCCCAGCTCGCCCAGCGGGAAGGGAGCCACGTCCAGTAGGCAGCAGTGGGAGCCGCGCAGCTTCTGAAGCAGCATCTGGACGGGGAGATACAAACATACAATGGCCCTTTAAAGATAAATATGCACGTACGTATTCTTCTTAAAGGGCACACATCATGCCCATTTTCAGGTTCTAATGAGCCTGCATGTGACATACTGTAGGAAGAGGAGTTGAATCGCACGTTTTCTGATCTAGGCAGCCCACAAAAAAGCGTTTCTGTTACCTGAGTGGGGAGCATGTCCTGGAAAGGCACCCTGCCGCTGACCAGCTCACAGGCCACGATGCCTAAACTGTAGATATCCGACTTCACTCCGTAGCCGTGCAGGTCCTACTGAGGGCAACACGGTGGGGGAGAGGCGAGACAGGATACATCAGGAACAAGGCACCGACACTGCCACATCATTTCTAGATCTAGGGAGTCCTGACCTGTCGCAGTAGTTCGGGGCTGAGCCAGGGCAACAGGGCGGGGCTGTGATGGGGCATGTCGAACACCGTCCTCATCTTCTTCCCGTCGCGCATCATGCTGTAAACACTGTGGAGCCCTGAGAGGTAGACACGCCCCTCCCCAGACAGCAGGATATGACTGGCCTTCACCCCCCTGACGGGAGAGCAATATGTGGACAGACATTAATTATTTGAAATACTTCTCTCTCTTGTTAATACAGACCAACATCTCCCACTGACCGGTGAACGTAGCCCATCCGGTGCAGGTATTCCAATGCTTTCAGCACGCCGTACAGCAGGTACGCTATCAGGGATTCACTCATTCCATCTGGGAAATATGTTCGGAGTAAAGTGTCTGCAGAGCCTGCAGGCAAGAGAGGAACACCTCAGTGATTTATTTTAATTTAGAGACAGTGGGAACCCATTTTGGCCCTCAGAAGGTTCTTATATCGATAAATGGACCAATAAAGAATGCCAAAACGAATAAAGAGCTATTGTCTGTCATTGTGCACAGCGCTATGTTTCACAATTGCTACATTTGAAGGATTTTAAAGGGCTAAACGAAAGGCAAAAAAGTGAATAGTGGGGTAGCAGTGGCTGACCGTAGGCCATCAGGGGCGTGAGGACCCAGAGCTGGCAGCAGCAGCTGAAAACCAGGCGAGAGGTCAGCAGGTTGCGGTGACGGAACACCCTGGACAGCAGGACCTCGTTCTGGGGTTTTGAGACAGAATCAGACGTGAACACACCTGGGTGGAGAGCAGCCGTTATGCTGAAAAGAATGGTTTTGAAACCCCAAAATAAGCTCACCATGAGCTGCAGCAGCTCCTCCTCCGTGCACTCGTCCAGGTTGGTATGCTTGACGGCCACCGGCCGGCCAGTCGGGACGTGGCGCGCCATGTTCACCCGGCTCAGGTTATTGAAGCCCCTCCCTGTGACACAAGAGGATTTACTCCGAGTGAAACCATCCTTCCCCCGGGAGAGGAAACTAGTTGCCTGACTGAAGCGCATGTGGTGGCGTTCTCACCCAGCTCGGACAGCAGCTGGTAGTGGGCCGGCTCAGCAGACAGCCCCGTGATGTCATCGCCACCTGCCGGCCCTTGCAGGGTGTACTCAGAACCGTCACAGCTCTGCAGGGGACGTACATGCACATATATTACACATTTATATATTCAGTAAGTCAAACACATGCGGTCGCTTTAAATGTGCTTCACGGTGATCCACGACCTTCATCGACCAAAAGACTATTTTGTGGTGAGGTAATGTGTGAGGGGGCCAGAGGGTGGCACTGTGACACTGTGCAGAGCAAAGGGTTGGTAGGGGGTGGGGATGATAGCAGTTTTTAAGAGATGCAGACAGATTTTTCTCAGCATCAGACAGCCGCAGGTGTTTCTGATGCAGCTTTGTTTATAACACACATCAGCTGGGCCAGCATTTTTGCCTGCATCACCAGGGGGGAGATGACCTCACACACCAGCAGTACATTTTAATAGTGAGTGCTGCGTTAAGAATATATGTAGTTGTAGAAGACTATCATAAAAACAGGCAAACTCTCTGGTGGAATCAATTAAATCAATAATGTGGATTATCGGTGATAATCAAAACAACCCCTGATGATGTCATGGTGATGTCATCGGGGTTGCTTTGACTTCAGCTCCACACTTTGTTACAAAAAGCCTGTGTTGTAAACTGGGAGTATAAGAGACATGGGCAAAAAAAAAAATCTGTATCCGTCACTCCAATTTTGTCCACTCGTGTTTTTTTTGTGTGTGAGAATATTAAATTGATGGAGCACCCCTTTAAATATTACCGACAGCTTTAACAGCTGCAATGTGATCCCAAGAGTTACTGTCTTTAACGACTTGACCAAAGGTCGAGCAGCCCCGGACAGACGGATGAATGAACAGTGATGACGTGATGGAGAGCATCAGTGCGACGCCTGTCTTCGTGCTGACGGTGTCTTTTGCTACTGACCAGGAACTGGTGGCTGATGTCCTCATATTGCTCCTCCCTGTCCAGCGGCTGGACTTGAGTGTGGGAGATGCAGGAACAGTCCTGGTGAAGGGGGAGGGAGGGAGGAGGAGCACAGGTGAGACATGCCCTGCAGGACAACTGAAGAGGTGGAGAGGAAACATGGGAGCTTGGGAGAGGAGGGTCAGGGATGAGGCAAGAGCAGTAAGCATCTGGGGAATCTGGGCTGGGGGGAGGGGGCACTTACAGGGCATTTTATCGGAAGTGGTGAGAGAACCAGAGTGACGATAACAGGCAACAATAAGAGGCAGCCGGGTGACTGATGTGTCCCCACAGAGCAAGGTAAGAGCTGCATACATAATTAGATGTCCATTAGATGTGAGCAATGCACAGCAGTGTCTCATATTTCCCCATCTATATTATGTATGTCAGTGCAGACGCAGTGGGGCTTTCACACATGCCATCTAAAGAATGATTGACATCTTATTTACCTCAGAAAAACACATTTTTGCACCAACATATTGGTGCATCGCCATCAGAAAGACTGATTGAATTTGCTTCATCCCAACATCTGTAACTCAGCAACACGCACATCAAACAAAAAAAACATGCAGCTTGATATTCTTACCAAGAAAGACATTGAGTCCTTTTGGCGACGGTAGAATCAAAGGCTCTGGTATTCATCCGCTCATGGGGCCGAGGGAGAGCGACCGCGAAAGGAGAAGACAGGGGGAGGGGAGGATGATGGTGTAACAGGAGACGAGCGTTGATTCCCCCCCCCCCTCACTACACCAGAGAGCAGCCAGCGTCCGTCAGTCCTACCGCGGGCATTCATCCATCCATCCTGGCTGCATCAGGTGATCTGGAGATCCGAGCAAATGATATGAAAGCTACCAGCAAATATCTCCATCCAGTGGGTCGGATAACAAAGCCCGGGAAAACTGCACATTCCCGATGACAAGTTAACATAAATGTATGCAGCTTTGTCGTCCTAACACTGCTACTATCCAACATTAAGAATCTCGCTGTACAATTAATAAACTCAATTCCACTTCAAGGTTAGGATTAACTGCAGCCATTTTAGTTTAACCAGAACGCGGCTATTATTCAAACCGACGGTGAAAGTCGTCAGTTAGCTGACATGTAGGCTATTTATCCAATTTCGGGTGACATTATCTTAACGCACGTTGATTCATAACTGCGTGGTGTAAGAAATACGGGACAGGGAACGCAGAAATATAAACACAACACGCATCTCTCGTTTCCGTAGCTAGGCTCACAAAGTGTAACGTTAGCTATGAACATACGTGTGTCAAGCTGTACGCTAACGTTAGCTCAGTTAAAATAGCTCTTATATTTATTGTAACGCTATTTACTACTTGTAGTAACGTTACCCTGTAATGAAAATAAGTTGCTTACCGTCTCCTCGACTGCAACTCGAGCGCTTCGACGTAAACAAGTTAAAAATACAAAAGAGAGTCTGATATTTTAAGCGACGTTTTGTCGAAAAACTCCATAGTCTTTCATTTTGTTCGGCTAGATTATACGGGCTGTGCAAGAAGTGTCGCGGTTTACAGTCAGTACCGAACTGCACGACATCCCAACGCGAAAATGCAATATTTTTTTTTTTTGACAGGACTTTTAATTTGACACTGATAGCTGGCGCAGGATAAAAACGTCACTGAGTTTACTGTCGCCCGTTGATGACTCATAGCTGTTTTCCACTTCCCTCCCTTCCGCTCCATTGTTTCAGTGGTGAAGGGATTGAAAGACACCGTGTGTTACAACTGGAATAACAGATGCTGTGGAATAACACTGACACAGGGTACGTTTTTAACAATAATACAACATCCTTTTTTATTTTTTATTTCCGCAGTGCTGTAAATGCGCCCCCGCGCGAGGTACGCTGCCAGTTTGAGCTCGCGACGGCACCGCTATGACGAGCAACAGTGATGCTGTCATCCTCGCCCACCATGTGAAACGTTAGCTGATGCTAAATACCTGATAAAACCAATCGAAGTTTAAACTCAAGGAGATGTTGATAAAGGACTAACAGTTCGCTCACCTTCTTGTCTTTAGGTTTAGCTCATGTAACGTTAGATGTTAGCTGGCCTGCTCAACATGTTTATTGGTTAGCTTGTTTAATATGATTAAATACATATGATTCCTATATGTAAGTCATGCCGAAATGGAGAGCAGCTCCTGGGGGTTAATTAAAACGTCTGTACATTAACTGACCAGTGAAGCATCTTTAAGATCGAGGTTTGGATTAATCAATCTCTGCTGATGGCTGAGGTGTCTGGTTATGCAGTTAAAATAATGCAAGTGCAATAATCTGTGACCAGCATTAAGTGGTGGTTTCCAGATTGAGGTCTGGATTTTCACCAGCTTTTTCAAACCACAGGAAGTAGTGTATTGATGTTTTCTTTGATGTTTTAGTTTTTTTCCCTTTCCTGTTTTAAAGTTAAAGACGCCCGTAGGAGTGCATCTCTTGCTATTCACTTTCCAGACAGCACCAGGCTGTATCACAAAAACAGCGCTGTCTGTCTGTGACAGTGTTACCCATGAGATGACTCACAGGCACTTGGTCAAGATCAGCCATGGCATTTTATCCCGGGAGGGGGGGGGCGGCATCTGAAAGACATTGCTATGACAAGCATGGACATAATTGGTGCAAATGCAATATTCTGTGCGTAGAATGTTGCGCTTAGCCCCATTCATTGTAATACCGGTGTCATTAATGGGTCAGTACATTTCTATCTGCCAGGCCTCTAATGCCACGCAGCACATTTGGACTGTAGCGTTGCGTGCATGACATTAATCTCTTCAGTGTTATGTAAGCAGAGGATGAATGTTGCCCAAGAACTCTCGTCTTTCCACAGGCATGCCCACACACACACACACACACACACACACAGATATGTCTGCCTGCACTGAGGTCAGTGATGCAGATGGCGCTGGGATTGCATCAACCTGCACGGTGTCCTTTTTATTAAAGTAGCTGTCATTAGTTGAAATGTGATAACGCACTCCTCTTCCCACTTAAAAGAGCACAGGTTTTACACGGTAAGATAAGAGGATCTCATGAAAGATGCTGTAGAATTGCATTATGGGAAGTGTAAGAGCCAGCGTTTTGGGGCGTCATTCACGCTAAGGGCTAAATGTTTTGATTTTGCCCATTCTTTATTTTAAATCCGTCTCTCACAAGCCTCCCAACTTCATGGAAGTGCGATGCTAAATTACTAAAGTTGCCCTTTAATTAAGTTTTTAACGTTTCCAGCAGCAGCGGGTCATTTGGAACTTTAGAAATGTGTGAATGAATATTTAAACGGACTGATACCAACTGAAAATCTAGCGAATTACAATACAGAAGCTCTTTTTTCCCAAATTCTCTCCTGGGAGCTCATCCCTTTAAGAGAGTGCATCCTGTCTCATCCCTTTAAGCCCCAGAGCATTCCCTACAGAGACACTCAACAGGATGTGGGAGGGCTCTGTTGCTGCTGATTTTAAAGATCTTTCAAACCCTAAAGAAGATGCCAGACAACCAGCGGTTAAAGTGTCCAGCAGCAAACACTGTGGGAGTAATTTGACTTGTAAACGTGGTAAATATCTTCATCTCTGGTACCTTTGCCTCTTTGACACTGCTCTCCTCAGGTAAAGGTGTGCGTCGGGCACCACCCGTCAGTGCCGGGACAGGATGTGATGTCACAGCGGTAAGCGGCTCGTGGTCCAGCTTTGTGTTAGCGAGCGGGGACCCCCCCCCTCCCGCTCCAAGGACAGGAGACATGTTTGAGGTCAAACCCCGGGCGGTGGAGAAGAAAGAGTCGAGCACGGAGACAGGTCAGGGCGTCACATTAATGTTGACTTACTGCAAAATGTTCCAAGGGAAATGTCTGCAGTGTGGGCTTTGTGTACATTCTCAAATATTCCCGTGTGCCGTGTCTTTCTGCTTGATGCTATAGTTAGCCCCGTCTGTCCCAGTAAACCACGTTTGTTCAAGTGGAAGGACACAAACACACCTACTACAAGCGGTTAATACAATGTTATTAGTTCATAATTCACACTGCGAAGTAAAAGGAATAGTTAGATATTTTGGGGGAACTAAATGCCCTGTTTTTACCTGGAATCTAGCTGTATCTGGGTAGCCGTGCTCTGCTTCCAGTGGTCTTGTAATATAATCATCATAATATGTATTTTAACAGATGAGGGGCTGGGCAGCAGCGGGAAGCGCTACGGCTCGCTGGGCTCCGGCTCGGCCGACTCCGGCTCCGTCTACCTGTCGGACAGCCAGGACTGGGCCGTCTCCCCCGGCTGCTCCCCGGACGGAGGCCCCGCGCAGCACAGCGCCATCTCCCCCGTGCTGGCTGAGGAGACCTTCCGCTACATGAGTGAGTGTGGATTTCAACGCTACGGTCTCTCCGGTCTACCGCCTTTTGATTGGTTAAAGCCCGTGGCGACAGTCTGTGAGCAGATGGCGTGCGCCTCAGTGTGTTGGACACGGGAGGGATTCGTTTTATACAACGCACATCCTCTTCAATTAAAATCGCAGGGATTTACCGCAGATATTATTTGCCACACGGTTGTCATTGTGCCTGTTTGTCTTTGCTGATGTGTGTGTGTGTGTGTGTGTGTGTGAGAGAGTGAGAGTGAGAGTGAGAGTGAGAGTGTGAGTGTGAGTGAGAGAGAGAAATTCAGTGATCCAGCCAGAGTTAAGTGCAGTTCAAAGCTGGGGCCAGAGTCACGGGACAGGGAGGGAGGGAGGGAGGGAGGGAGGCGGGTTGATAGAGGATGAAGAGAGGACAGTGGAGGAGTCGGATTATGCCGGTTTTAAACATTCACAATGAGGAGGTTTACGACAACTTCGCTATGGAAGGTGAGTGCAGGCGTTAGCGCAGTGTGTGTGTGAGCTGGTGTGACTGCAGCTCCAGTCGCGTCTGCAAGGTCAGGCAGAGCGTGTGTGTGTGTGTGTGTGTGTGTGTGTGTGTTCCTTGAAAGACAGGAAGTGGGCAAGTCTGAGTGAATGCTTGGGTGTTTACATTCAAACAAGTTGTGGTATGCAGGAGCGACTTCCTGTCTGTTTTTGCAAATACATACTGTTCTTCCTCTCTCCTTTTTTTAACAGTTTAACTTAAAGCATCGTTTGATCAGATCTGACCACACGCGAGCAGTTTAATGGTTTTGTTTACATGATATTGTACAGGTTATGTGTTTTGTTAACTGCACGTGTGAGAGGAGTACAGTAAGGGAGACTCGGTGTCATTTTCTTGCTCGGTGAAATATTTGCTGCACTTGTGCGCCGTAAAATCAAAACGCGGTCTATTAATAGCTCCCGATGCACTCGGAAGAGGCATGCTAATGTTCCGAGTGCCCCACAGGAGAAGTGAGTAAATGTGCAGGGTTTGTATGTATTTCAGACAGTGCTGACGATAGCGTAAATATTCCACCACTGCGATGGTACAAGCGTCTCAAGTATCCCTTTAGTGTGTCATGTTGTGAAATCAGAACAGGGAGCGGTCTGACTCTGCAAAAAATTCTCTTTGAACCGCAGAAACTCTATTTCAATGCAAAGTAGAGTCAGAGTGGTGACACGTGAGAATCAGCTCGCTTCCAATACTTTCTAGTCTTTGACACTCTGACCTCGCATGTGTGCGTCCTGCCTGGACCAACCGCACAAAACCACATCAGCAACACAAGTACGAGAGCACAAAAACATCGCTAAACTCAATCCTGCACGTTCGAATTAGCATTTGACCCATTTGATTTGTTGTTTGTAACAATTATTTCCTACATGACACTTTCAAATTGGGTGTTTACAATTTGTCGCATAAACTAAATGCACCTGCAGCGAGTGTAGTTTGTTTATTGGTGCCAAAAGTCTACAGTGTTTCTTAACAAGTCACCCATTGACCACTGTGTTCGCAGTCCAAGAATCAACTTCAAAATAAAAGCACTACTCTCATTACTCATTGGACTTTGCGGTGATGCAGTTTATTGTGGCCAGAGTTCAGTCTAACAAGTAAAAACAACCCACACTAGTGTGTCAGTGTGTGATTATATTTGGAGTTATATCTTTAGTTAGTAATGTAGTGTTTGGCAGATCATAGACTTATTTACACAGTGACATCCGACTTTGCCCAGCAGGTAAAAGAGTGTGTGTGTGTGTGTGGACTCTTGGCGTTAAATGTACAGTAACAAGAGAGATTAAATGTGTGTAACAAATAGACCCGGTGGGAAGCAGAGGTTATTTTTAACAGTCGCGTTGTTGGCGCAGAGATCCAGAGGTCACCGCTGGCCTCGGATTACCGGACGACCGCTCTCGTTCAATCGAGCAGCTGCTTCACTCGAAGGCTCTCCTGCACACCGCTTATTGCATGTGAGCGTAGATCGCTTCTACGGCGTTGAGCGTGGCGATGTTTCACAGTGATTAGAGTTGCCACTTCTCTTTGAACAGGTGGAAGGGGCGGCGGTGCGGCGCCGGTGACACCCACTCAGGTGCTTAAAGGCGGACCGGACTAATCGATGTGTAGATCCTCAACACACTAATAATGTTCAGAAAGACGTTGATTCACTGAAGCTTCAGCTTTCACCCTCGGCTTCTTTACTTCCTGTCTTTCTGCCCCATTCATCTTCAAAACAAGCTGGTTGCTTGTGCGTCTGTTGAACTCTTCCCCTTCTTTTATCCCTGTCTCTCACTATAGCGTATCTTGCCTTGGAGCCCTCTTCCTATTCCCACCCAGGCTCTCAGAGCCTCTCCAAAGGTATCTTCCTCTCTCTACCTGCCTGTTCTGCTCTGCGACTTCATCATTTAGCTCCAGTGTGTCTCTCTGCTTTTTTCGCATGTAGACGACAGCAGACGAGAAATTAACTGAGTGTAGGTCTGCTGTCTGTTACTGTAGACAGCTTTATAGCACTGTATAGTGTGTGTGTGTGTTGAGGCTGCATTACATTCAGACCACTAGCAACCACATCGCCTTGTTGTGGAGCTATTTCATCAAATGGCATCAGTAGTGTTTCTGTAATGAGTGACATGTTGTGGCATATAAGTGGCTGCCCGCGTTGCTTGTGGTCAGAATGTTTTATTAGGTAGCAAGTAAAGTGTGTGGTTTTATTTGAATGCTTTTGTGGTTGCATGCACGAGGTGCATAACAGACTGCATGCAGGCGTGTTAGTGTGTGTTTGCTTGTGTGTCTCTTGATGGTAAAATGTCGTCTTTCTGGCCAGTCCTCAGCGGGGATCGCGTGGAGCAGATGACCAAGACTTACAATGACATCGAAGTGGTCTCGCACCTTTTGGCGGAGGTAGGTTGCGCCCCCCCCACCCGGCCGCCCACAAATTGTTTCACGTTATGAAGCGGTGTCTGATTGGTCGGTGCTCTGTGTGCTCTGATTGGACAACAGCGGGACAGAGACTTGGAGCTGGCAGCTCGGATCGGTCAGTCCCTTCTGCAGAGGAACCACCTGCTGCAGGAACGCAACGAGGCCTTAGAGGAGCAGCTGGCACAGGCCCTGGACCAGGTAGCTCACGCGCTAGATCTTTCTTTCTATATTCAAAGGAAATGCATTTAAAAATGACCTCTCTGCACCTCTATGGCTATCAGGAGTCTGCAGATTTTCAGCTCACACAGTAACCACTCTACACAAACCTTCCCTCATTGGCCAGGTTCACCAGGTGCAGCATGAGCTCGGCAAGAAGGACGAGTTGCTGCGCATGGTGGCCAGCGCCTCGGAGGAGAGCGAGACTGACTCCAGCACGTCGACGCCGCTGCGGCAGCCCCGCCCGCTTGGGGGGACCATGGCCGCCGCCGCACTCAGCCAGCTGGAGTCTCTGCAGAGCAAGCTGCAGGACCTGGAGGAGGAGAACCTGTCACTGAGGTCTGAGGTACGAGGTAGTGGAGACGCAGTTCGTGACGTAAGTATAATGGCTGTTATACGATTATGGAAGTGCTTATGGTTCCTCTCTTCTCCAGGCGTGTCAACTGAAGAGCGACACCGTCACCTACGAGGACAAGGAGCAGCAGCTGGTGAACGACTGTGTCAAGGAGCTCCGTGAGTGAGACGCACACGTAGTTCACACTGCAAAGGACGCGGTCTCGTGTCCGGAATGCCCGATTTTTAACTTTGGTCTGTGTGCCGGTTCCAGGAGAGTCCAACAGTCAGATGGTGTCTCTGACGGACGAGCTGTCTCAGAAGAACGAGGAGCTGCTTAGACACCAGGGGGAGATCTCTCAGCTGCTCTCCCAGATAGTAGAGCTGCAACACAGAGTGAAGGAGGTGAGGAGACTGAACTGCTGTCACACGTTATGTTCTGAGGCGTGAGTCATGAATCTGATGACTGTAGTCTGCAAAGTAAAAAAGCCTTTAAACGAAGACTTTAACGCCAATGACATGGGACTTCTCTTGGAATAAGACTTGGTGTGGACTGGTCGACTGGACCTGGTCTTGGTGGTCTGTTTAAATGCTGTGTGTTTGTACTCAGCTGGCTCTGGAGAAAGAGGAGCTGAGGATCCACCTGCAGGCATCTAAAGAAGCTCAGAGACAGCTCACAGCAGAGGTACAATCTCACTCACTCACAGGAAGAAGTCTGAATGCATGCCTAATTCAAATATCTATTTTAGGGATTAATTAATTGCTGCACACAAAGTAATTTATATAACAACTCCTGGTTTGTGTTTGTGTGTTTGTGTGTGTGTGTGTGTGTGTGTGTGTGTGTGTGTGTGTGTGTGTGT